GTTTCTATTGAACATTCTAAAAATCTGGAAACCATGAGAATATAAGAGTTGCAAAGCAGTCTAGAAGCACAAGAGTTGCGTCTGACTGAAAGAACTTCTGAGAGGGAAGTGGAGCAAGCTCTGAAAGCTTCTTTTGTCAAGAAGGACCAGAAGCATAATAGACATGGTGATAAATTCCAGAAGTCAGAAACCTCAACCTCTGATGAAAAGAAATATCAGAAGGGAAAGGAAAGGTATGACAAGAAGAAGGTTCAATGTTACTGCTGTAAACAGTTTGGGCATTTTGCCAGAGACTGTAGAAACAGAGGAAGGAAATCAGAAGAAGCAAATATAGCCAGAGAAGATTCTGATGATGAACCTGTGCTATTGATGGCTTCTGATTCTGATGGAAACTGTTCAGGAGATTGGTGGTATATGGACACTGGTTGTTCAAACCACTTGACTGGGAACAAACAATGGCTGACAGACTTTGACTCCAGAAGGAGAACAAAGATCAGATGTGCTGATTATAAGCACTTTAATGCCGAAGGTATGGGAAATGTCAGAGTCAGAGTGAAGAATGGAAGAAATGTCAATGTTACTGATGTAAACAGTTTGGGCATTTTGCCAGAGACTGTAGAAACAGAGGAAGGAAATCAGAAGAAGCAAATATAGCCAGAGAAGATTCTGATGATGAACCTGTGCTATTGATGGCTTCTGATTCTGATGGAAACTGTTCAGGAGATTGGTGGTATATGGACACTGGTTGTTCAAACCACTTGACTGGGAACAAACAATGGCTGACAGACTTTGACTCCAGAAGGAGAACAAAGATCAGATGTGCTGATTATAAGCACTTTAATGCCGAAGGTATGGGAAATGTCAGAGTCAGAGTGAAGAATGGAAGAAACATTCTGATCAAAGATGTCTGGTACGTTCCTGGAATTAAAAGCAATCTGATGAGTGTGGGTCAGCTTATTGAGAAAGGTTTTTCAGTGGTTATGAAGGATAACCTCTTGATGTTGTATGATTCTAATCAGAAGTTGATTATGAAGTCTGATCAGGGAAGCAACAGAACTTTCAAAGTGAATGTAGAAACTTCTGAAGCGGAGTGTCTCAGTGCAGAAGGCGCTGAAGCAGACAGCAAGTTGTGGCACAAGAGGTTGGGGCACTTGAACTATAAAAGCTTAGGGCATCTAAGTTCTAAGAAGCTCGTACATGGCATTTAGAAGATTGTGAAGCCTCAGAAGTCATGTGAGATATGCATGAAAGGCAAGCAACCCAGATTGCCATTTGCATCAGAAGTAGCCCCCAGAGCAAAAGATGCTCTGGGAGTAGTACACTCTAATGTATGTGGACCATTTCCAGTAGCTTCACTTGGAGGAAACAAATATTTCGTGTCTTTTGTGGATGAGTTCACAAGAATGACTTGGGTAACACTCATCAAGTTCAAGCATGAAGTGTTTACAGAGTTCCAGAAGTTCAAGGTGAAGGCTGAGAAGCAGAGTGGTCAGAAGCTGAAGATTCTGAGAACAAATGGTGGAGGTGAGTATAACTCTACAGAGTTCCAGAAGTTCTGTGAGGAGAATGGAATAGAACATGAAGTCACTGCTCCATATACTCCTCAGCACAACGGTCTCGCTGAAAGAAGAAACAAAACTTTGCTTAATATGACCAGAAGTATGCTGAAAGAAAAGAAGTTACCTCACATGTTATGGGGAGAAGCTGTTGCCACATCAGCATATGTTCTGAATAGGTGTCCAACAAAGAAGCTAAAGGAAACTGTTCCTTTAGAAAAATGGACTGCAGACAAGCAAAGTGTTAGCCATCTGAAGGTATTTGGTTCTGTGTGCTACAAACACATTCCAGAGGCTAGAAGACGAAAACTGGATGATAGAAGCAAAATAATTTTACTGGTGGGGTACCACAGTACAGGTGCCAACAAGCTTTATTGTCCAGAAACCAACAAAGTTGAAATCAGCAGAGACGTCGTTGTGAAAGAGTCAGAAACATGGGATTGGAACAAGCTTCAATCAGATTCTGGTATAGTGCCAACACCAGGGTTAGTTTCTGAAGACGAGTCAGATTCAGAAGAAGAAGATTCTGAAGATGAGTCAGAATCTCAGGGAGATTCTGATAGTGGATCTGATTCTGATCTAGATTCTGATGATGATCCAGATTCTGGTGGTGATTATACTTCTGGAAGGGAAAACTCTGAAGACATGGGGTCCGGAGAACAAGTTTCCATAAGTAACTCTGAAGGTGGTAATTCTGAAGGAAGTAGTTCTGAACAAGGTTCAAAAGCTAGTATTGTTCCGAATTCTGGAGAAGCTTCAGAACAAGATCAGAGGCCACAGAGAATCAGACGAATACCAAGTAAGTTTGCAGATTTTAGCATGTTACATGATACTGAAGTAGATTCTGAAGGAGAAATCGTTCAGTGTGCCATGCTAGTAGATTCTGAACTAGTGGGTATTGAAGAAGCGCTCAAGAAGAAAGTGTGGCTGAATGCCATGAAAGAAGAACTTGAGGCTATTGAAAGAAACAAGACTTGGAAGCTGACAGAACTTCCAAAAGGCAAGAAAGCCATCAGCGTCAGATGGGTTTTCAAGCAGAAGCTAAAGCCAGATGGATCAATTGGCAAACATAAAGCGAGACTAGTGGCCAGAGGTTTTCTTCAGAAACCTGGACTAGATTACTTTGAGGTATTTGCGCCTGTAGCTAGACACGAAACAATCAGACTGGTGATTGCTTTAACTGCAAACAGAAATTGGCCTTTGATACATCTGGATGTGAAGTCTGCATTTCTGAACAGTCCATTATAGGAAGAAGTTTATGTGTCACAACCTCCTGGATTTGTGAAAAAGAATCAGGAAGGGATGGTATACAGGTTAAATAAAGCTCTGTATGGACTGAAGCAAGCGCCCAGAGCTTGGAATCTTAAGATTGATTCGTTTTTCAAAGAACAAGGGTTTCATAAGTGTGAGATGGAGTATGGTGTTTATGTTCAGCACACTTCAGAAGGTAATATGATTCTGGTCTGTTTGTATGTTGATGACATATTACTCACAGGAAGTTCTGAACAAGAAACAGCTGAGTTCAAGAAAGTTCTGATGAATGAGTTTGAGATGACAGATCTTGGAAAAAAGAGTTTCTTTCTAGGGATGGAACTTATATACTCTGAGAAAGGAATCATTTTACATCAGAAGAAGTATGAACTAGATCTTCTGAAGAGATTTGAGCTAACAAATTGCAAGGTTGCTATCACACCTGCTGATACGAATCAGAAGTTGGACTCTGATTCTGATGGAGAGGATGTGGACGCTACAACCTTCAAACAGATGGTTGGTTCTCTGAGGTATTTATGTAATACCAGACCTGATATTTGTTATGCAGTTGGAATAGTCAGCAGATACATGAGCAAACCAAAGTGGTCTCATTACCAAGCTGCTGTCAAGATTCTAAGGTACATAAAAGGAACTCTGAAATATGGAGTGATGTTTCCTTCTGGAGGAAAGATCAAATCAGAACTTATGAGTTATTCTGATTCTGATTGGTGTGGAGACAGAGTTGACAGAAGAAGCACTTCTGGGTACTTATTCAAGTTTCTGGGAGGTCCAATTTCTTGGTGTTCCAAGAAATAGCCTGTTGTGGCTCTGTCAACATGTGAAGCTGAATACATTGCTGGTGCTGTAGCTGCCTGTCAAGCAGTCTGGCTTCTGAATCTGCTGCATGATCTGAAGGTTGAAGTTGAGGAACCTCTGAAGCTGATGATTGATAATAAGTCTGCAATTAATCTTGCAAAGAATCCAGTTCTACATGGCAGAAGCAAGCACATTGAGACGAAGTATCACTTTCTCAGAAGTCAAGTGCAGAAAGGAGTGTTAGAAGTTCTGCACTGTAGCATTCAGAAGCAGCTGATAGATGTTCTGACGAAGGCAATAAAAACAGACCAATTTCTGCGCTTGAGAGATGAAATTGGTGTTGTTAACTTCTGATAAATTACTAAATTACGGGATGGTATTAGAGGGTAATTTAGTATTTTGTTATTTGTAGATAAATTTTGATTAGGGCCTATGTGGTATTCTTATTTGTGTATAAATAGGTGTACTAGGTTTACATTTACAATCAATCAATTCTTAAATCATTTCACTACGCCAAATAAGCTATTTAATAGCGCTTTTTTTTTATTTTGATAGCGCTTAAAAGTGCTATTAACCGCGCCACTATTGTAAATATTTCTTATTTAATAGCACTTTAAAAGCGCTATTAAAGTACCAATTTATAATAGCGTTTTAATTAAAGTGCTATCAAAGTCAGTATTTTGCATGTTTTTTGTTTGTTTTTTTATAGCACTCTAAACAAAAAGCGCTAATATATAACATATGTTTGATAGCGCTTTCAAATAAAGTGCTAATAAATGGTACATATTTGGTACAATATTTTCAACCGTGCCGCTAATTGCAAGATTTCCAACCACAGTGATTTCCGCAACAACTTTCTTACCAATATCAATGTAATGAATGTAGCATTTTAATCAAGTCTTAATAAATGAAGCTGCTTATTCAACCTCAAAACCTTTTATACTTAACTAACAGAAAAATCTGGGTTTCCCCTATTAAATAATACTACACTTGTTGAATGAGGCGTGGTAAAACAACAATAGAGCCTATTTTATATATGAGATACTATTCATCCCTATTTACATGATATGATATGATATATCTATATAATGAATACAAAGTTTAGAAATGGTCATGAAATAAAATCATATTTTGTATATAAGAGATACTATCCCTAGTTACATGATATGTTATATCTAAACAAAGAATATAAAGATTATAAAAGATCATGAAATGAAATCATATTTTGTATAAGAGATACTATCCCTAGTTACATGATATGTTATATCTATACAAAGAACACAAAGAATATAAAATGGTCATGAAATCATAATAAAATCAGGATTCAGGCGCACTTCGAAGCAAATGGTTGTTGAGACTAACAAAGCAAGCTTCATGCTAAGCTTGCTCTTTGGAAGCTAACAAGTGGCTACCAATAGCATCATTGTTTAAATACAGATAAGTTTTTTTGCCAGAAGATGTAGTAGTAGGTACGTTAGAAAAACCAGTGTAGTTGTCATTCAACTTCGATAAGCATATTTTCGCAATAAAATCAAAGAGCTCGTTTTCTTGCACAAAAGGTTGGGCTGCATAGTCTTCAACAGGCATCCACTGAATAGAAAAACAAACTATGTTGGAATATGGTCACCACCAGTCAAAAAACATCCTACAACTTTATAAAGATACCTTAGTTGCTTCAATTTCTGAGGCCTGACTTTGAATGTCAAAGGATTGAGGTTGCAACATGCAAACAAAGAACAAGTCTGATTTCTGAAAAAAAGATTTATGGCTTTGCCTGATACCAAAGAGACAGGAAGAAAAACATAAAGGTCAGTAGCAGGCCAGATATTGAAGACAGAAAATTTGTGAACTATATGCATGCATTCTAATGATTCTTGTGTAAAAGATATAGTTGTGCCAACATTCAGACTGCATGCTAGTTGACGAGGTTGGTGTGTGTAAGTCACTCTTACCTGAAAGCTAAAACTTCAACAAACTCTGTCTCTACCTACATGAAGAACAAAAGTAATGGCATTAAGACTTCGAAATGAATAGTCCATTTTTTGTTTTAATATACAATGGTGTAATATAAATTTTGAAGAATGTTTAGTTAAATATATTAATAACAGACGGTGACAAGAAAAAAATGAAATAGAACAATTTAATCTGTACTATATTTTGTGTTTGCTTACCCCTGTCTCTTCCTTCACTTCTCTAATTACAGCATCACAAATATCCTCGCCCTGCAAATATGATAAAAATGAATCAAAAGAACATATTATAAGTTTCATAATTTGATGAATAATCATGTTGATATATACTTCATTAACAGCTCCAGTAGGCATCTTCCATACACCTGTGCCTCCAAATCTACCACTGGTTTCCTGAACCACAAGCACCTATCAAACAAAACGAGACTGTTTAAAGTATAATATAACAGAATGATTGATGAGAAAGAGAAATGAAAGAGGAAGAAGATTACCTCTCTTTTGTTATTGACGATAAAAGCACCAACGCCGAGACGGTGTGAAGCATTTGCAGGAATGCTATCAGGGGTATGAGGGATCCAATATACAAGCATCAAGTAATCTGACTCAGCATGATGGTACCTAAATCCAGCCTGCAATGCAATAAAAAATTGTTGGAATTCACACTCAATCTCATTATAAGCTATATGGTAGTAACAAAATTGTATATACCTTGACAGCAGAATGAACAAGATTAGAATGCTGTAAGGGCAAATTGATCCATATTCCCTTTTTTCCCTGTTTTGAGTAGATTAAATTAATTGAAAACATTAGTAATAATAGCAATTGATTAGTGAATCTAGATGATTAACTATGTAATTAACCTGTTGAGTCCATAGAGACATTGAATGTTCCAATTTAGAAGCAAATGAATAAGAATCCATAGGGTTTTGAACGGTTAGTATAACTCCTCCGAATTTATCCTCTTTATTTTTTTTCGCGCTCCAATTGTCCAAGCTTATTGGAACTAACCGACGAACTGTGACACCAATAAAACTAGCAAAAGTCTTGCTATTATGCTTGATTGGTTGACCTCTGGAATTCCATTGAACCTATAACAAAATTAAAGTGCAAATAAAGAATCAACAGTCTCACTAATAGTGTTTAACATTCAAATAGTTTCAAACAACTAACTCATAAAAGATAATCATGTATGTAACCATCACTCATACATAGTTCAGTAAAAGGAAAATTGCCAAGAGAGTAAACAGTATCATAAAACTCTATCTATTTTACCTCAATTCTCTTTCCATTGCTTTTGGCTTTGTGAATTTTTTGCAATCGGGTCACACCACGTTTACCAACTGTTTTCTTACTAGACGAACCACTTTCATCATCAATAGAAGCCATATTTCACCTATAAAAATTTAAAAAGTTATATACCATACAAGAATAACATTAAGAAGCAATAACAATAAAAAAATGAAAAACAAATAAATAAACCATACAAGATTAAGTCGGCCTTTTCCTCTTCCTTGTAGTTGGATTCCTACTTTTCTGTTTTCTAGTTACATAAAATGATGGATTGATCCAAATCCCATCACTGTGATCGTTTCTCATATAAAGAATATCATCTATAATTGATTCAGACTCAAGGGATTGTGAAGTATTAAAGAAAGGGTCATCCTCAATTCAGATAATACTAATATTGGGTATTCAATTACCAAAATCTTATTGGTCCTAAATCATTCAATTTGCCTCAGTCATCATAAATAGAGTGATCACTCTAATTCTACACAAACAAATCACCTTACCGATTCCTTTATGACAAAATTCCAGACATAAACTCATTAAAAATATTTGGCACACTATGTTATGCTTCTATCCTTGTGCACAGAACCAAACTTGATCCAAAAGTTTAAAAAAATATATATTTCTTAAGATATACATATCTGGCCAGAAATGCAATGTCCTTCTTGACATTGCCTCAAAAGAAATATTTGTATCAAGACATGTTTCCTTCCATGAACATATACTTGCTTATCAAAAAACTTAACCATCGCCATACACTTTCTGGCACACTATTTCCCATTTGCACTTACAAATTTCAGCACAGACAATCTTACCACAACTCCTGATCCAATCATTTCAGCTCAAACAATTCCTTCAAATACTTATAAAAGCCATTGGCAATCATGACACTTATTCCATACCTAACAGAACATCTTCAAGATTGAGAAATCATCATTCCTATCTCAGACTATAACAGTAATTCCACACACCAATCATCCAAGCCACACACAGCTTGAACTTGATGCACTTGAGAAACTGGAACATGAAAATTTGTAGATTTACCTCTAAATGTTAAGGCAACTGGATATACTAAATCAAACATCTAGCTTATGGTTCAATTGACTAAATTTACAACTAAATTGGTTGACTGAGACTCGTCCCATGAATTTGAATATTATTGGAGTTCAGCATGTACCAAAATCTTAATGAACATTAACCACTGTTATAAATAAAACTAAACTTTAGCTCATTGTATAACCAACCATAAAATAGACCAAATATCAATCCAAAAATTTGAATCACTATACTAAGTAATAATATTCTATATAAAAAAAACAACCAAATTTCCAATAGCCTTCTGTCAAGATTATGGTAAATCTAATTTACATTTTGTTCATGCAAAGAAGCCACAAAAGTTATGCAATTAATTTCTTACTTTATGCAGCCAAGACTTTCTTCAATCCCGATTTCTGATCTGCATTGAGCCGAGGTGGGAATTTGATGTTGAACTTTATCCTCAAGTTTCCCTTCTTTGTTGGATCCTTTGGCAGTGGCATTCCTTCTCTTGGAACAACTTCCTCATACTCAGGATGAACGACATTGTTGACGATTATAGTCAAGTTTCTACCATCAAGTGTCGTGAGATTCACTGTGCAGCCGGATAATGCTTCTGCAAGAGAGATCTTCTGAGTGGCTACCAGATCATTTCCTTCACGAGTGAAGACGCTGTGTGGTTTTTCATCGATGACGAACACAATATCAGTAGGTACGAACACAGAGAATCAACGGATAGCAGAAACTGAAAAAAGAAATATTACCGGATACAAATGAAGAGAGGGATGACGATGACGTAGGTGAGATGACAAAGGGTTGAGTTTGACGGAGAATGAGAAAGGTGTGAGAATATATAGTAGCAAATAACTGAATTAAAGTAATTCAAACTCAAAATTACATTCTAATTAGGTAAAAAAAACATAATTATAGAGCATATAAACAGAAAATGAGTATGAAAAAGGTGAATTACCATAAGGAGAAGCGTGAAGCTGTTTAGCACGATCGTTACAGCTACCTAACAATGCAGGAGGCAGAGCTTGATCCTTTTCGATGACACGATCTTCTTCTTCGATAGCTTCAAAGACACTAGCTCTTAATTCAGCCTGAAACATGAAGAAGAATTGAAAATTATGGATCTGAATAAGAAAACCCTAAAAATGAAGAAAAGGGAGAAGAACAATGAAATACTCGGATCCTAGCGAGAACGCCTTTCTTCTCAAGAGTGCGAGTCACGAGGGTTTTGAGGTCCATCATCTCTCGTGTAATCGTCCATTCTTTTCGATTTTCACTTTCCAAACTTCTTCTTCTTTTTCTCTTCTCTTCTGTGCGCCAAATCCCCAATTTATACCAATAATACCAATGTTTTTTTTATCAATTAATTAATTAATTCATTATTATATATAACATAGCGCTTTTTAATAAATGCTATTATATAGGTAGTACAATAATAGCGTTTTATACAAAATGCTATCTTAAAGAAGTTTAATAATAGCGTTCTGGTACAAAGTGCTATCAAAATTACATAGTCTGTATTATATAATAGCGCCCGATTAAAAAGTGCTATTATAAATGTGTTTTTTCCATTTTAATAGCATTTTTTTTAAAAGTGCTATTAAATTAGGTGATACAAAAAATCATTTTTGGCGTAGTGTTTGCTGTCAGCTTTTAGACATTTATTCCTTCCTTCTTCTTCCTCAAATTCATCACCTTGCACTAACAGGTTTCACTACCTTAAACTTATATATATATAGACTATTTTAATATATATAAAAAAATATAAATTAGTTTATAAAATTTTATAGATTTTTTTAATAGATTAAATCTAACCTATCTAATTAAATAAGTTTTTAAATAAATTTAAATTTAACTTTTTTTAAATAAATAAATCTAATATGAATTCAAATAGACTAGGTCATTTAGTCGATTTAACTATTTCAACCATAATCATATCAGCCAAATTATATTCCTGTGAACGTACAATTATCTTACACGACAAGAAATTTGACATATTGTGACTATATTTAGTGACAACAATTATAGCTGTAAGTATAGGTGTATATACCTACAAATATTTTATTTCTTCCTTCGTAGGTATAGATAGTTTATAATTTATCTATATATAACAGTAATAAGAATTTATTAATTATTTTTTATAATATAATTTTAAAATATTTCTTTGATAATTTATATTTCTTTTAAAATTTGTGTATCTGTTTTAGCACATAATTCATGATTTAGTACAATGTTGTTAATTGCGGTTAGCAGAAAATGCTATAGCTGTAAGTGCTGATTGTTGATTTTTTGTTTATTTTGGTCAGGTTAATTCATGTACTGGAAGAATGGGAAAAGCTATCATTGGTGCAACAGAAGCTGCTGGACTGAATGTTGTGTCGGTGTCGTTTGGGGTTAAAGAGGAATCGGGAAAGACTTTTGAGATCGGTGGAAGGGAGTTTCTTGTGAATGATCCGTCTGATAGAGAGGGTTTTCTTGAATCTATTCTCCATAAATATCTGAATTTGATTGTTATAGACTACACTGTACCAAATGCAGTCAATGGTATGTGTCAATGTTTTAGATTGAGAATGGATTAAACTCATATAATAAGCAGTGATTGTGTCAGCTGAATTCCCAGGTACAATTTTGATTTGCATGTCAATCTTACCATAAAGATATTGATTATTGGATTTAAAGCCAGAGCCAGAGGTTCTGTCTAGAGACAAATTAAGAAGCTGACCGTTGTTCAGAATCTTACCTCTTCCATATCTCCAAGTGATACCAATATCTTGGTAAAAGTTTTCAACAAAAGCTACCATAAAAGGTGTACATATTAAAGTTACTGCAAATATAATTTTATAAAAAAAGTTTTAATTATTTATAATCATGTTAGAGGGTTATGATGTTTTATTTTAATTTTTATAATTAAACTAGTTCTTGCATTGATTTTTAAGTCATATACTTATTTTATTTTATTTTAAATTAAACTACTTTGATTAATTTAAAATATTCAATAAATACAAGCGATTCCAGCTAGATCCAGCAACTAATCATCTCTCATAAGGACTAAAATAATAAAAATTATTATCCATCTATCATTAAGATAATAACTTATTTTCTAAGTTTTTTATTATTCCAATACATATACACCATAATATCTATAATTCATTTTTCTATATTTGTGGTATCAATAATTTCTTCAAAAATTATGCTATTTTTAATTTTCTAAAGTTCATAAATTATTTCAGTGGCGCCATTTTAATGACAGTAGCTCAAGCCTCTTTTCCTTTTGTTTGATGAAGTAGCCATTTACTTTCATCATGCCAGTCTCCAGGAACATGATCTATCCAAACCCAATTCGAAACCTCCATCCATATATTTTTCATGGTTTCACACTCAAAATAAATGTTTCACCGATTCATTTTTCAAGCAGAAATAACGTTTTGTATTATCAACCATTCTGAACTTACACAATTTGTCTTTAGTTGCCATCTTCTCATGACATACAAGCTATAGAATAAATTTGGCTCGGAGCCTAGCATTGTTACCGTACGGCAAATTCCTCCATTTTATCTTTTGGGCATAATCTTGTTGGATCCTATAGGCCTTGCCCATATCGAAATCGTTCCATCCCATGATTTCTTCTCATTCCTCCATCTTCTTGAATTCATCTCTTTGGATTAAAATTGCTTTCATACTCCATGTATCATTAGGCTTGATCTCAATATCCATCAGGCTTTTATTTTTTACATAGTATGCTTGGATCTACCTTACCCAAAGTGAGTCGGTCTTTCCACTCAAGTTCCATAAAAGTCTTATCAAGTTGGTTATATTTCACACTTCTATGTCTATGACATTCAACCCTCTATAGCATTTGGATCTACACACCTTCTTCCAAGCTACAGGTGCCTTACGGCTACCCTCAAACCCCTTTGTACATAAAAATATGTGGCAAATGGTTTCAATTTTCTAGAGGACACTTTTGGAGAATGGAAAACAATTCAGCCAGTAATTAGTTAAAGCAAATGTCATATTATTAATAAATTGTAATCTCCTCATATACGTCAACATTCGAGTGGTTCAATGCTTTATCTTACCAACAATCTTGTTTATTAATGACATATAGTGATGAGTAGCTAGCTTTTTACCTGTCACATGAACTCCTAGATATTTTTAAAAGGCAATTTTCTATGTTAGAAATATAATTTCTAAAATTATTTTTTATGTTAGAAATATAATTTTTGTTGTAATTAGTCGGCTAGTATGATAATCTTAATTACATATAAGATGACAGTTTTACAACACTCACTTGATTGAAGCTCATAAGTGAACAACTTTACACCACATAACATGATAAACCTCTTCATTTCATTATTTAATTTCTAGTTATAGATGTTTATTTTAAATATTGAGTTTTTAATTGTATTATCACGTGCATTATTTTTTATGTTATTTTGAGTATATCATTTATAAAAATTTGAATATTATGAATATTATTTTTTAATACAATTTCAATAATTTTTACAGGTTTTAAATCTTCGCAATAAAAATCCCGCAGTTTAAAGAAGATATTAGAGAGTAATTTGTGAGGGTGCGTAAATTGATTTAAAAACCTCTTTAAGTAGTCACTTTTTTTTTATAATGGTTATGTTTTGTTATAAATTTCATTGAAAATTGATCCAAATTGACTAGTCATACTTAACAAAAGTTTAACTTGAAATCTATTCACCCTCTAAATATATTTTATATCATATCAAATAAAATACTCCTCCAAATATACAATTATACAATTAGTTTACTAGTGTTTGTTTTAAAGTTAAGTTTTAAATATTTAAAATCATGCATATTAGAGGGCTATAGCAATAGGGATCAGAGTAACACTGGACACCCAAGTCGCATTTTCTTGAGAGACCCAACCACTCATCAGCTTCCGTTTCTGCCTGAAGGATCATAGATTTATCTTTTATCAAGTCTTCTATTCTTATAGCACTTAATTATTTCTATTTCACCGTATCATTCCATGTGGGACTGTGACATAATATAACGCATATTTCATCATCTCATGCATTAGCTTTTCGGGCTACTGAATTTTGAACCATATTATTAAGTTCTGATTTTGATTGCATAAATTTTTGTCATACACTACCACTATTCAAAAACACAATATACGATCGTACAATTTAACTATAATTCATTATCATGTGATGCTACGCAGTACGCACAATATAATGATGTAAGGAGCCTTCAACTTTATTTATACCAAAAACATGCAAAATAGAAACGATTCATTTTCTTCTTTATATTCATGGAAATCCACCTCCAACTCCTCCACCTGCTCCACTACCAAATCCTCCACCGGATCCGACACCACCGTGTCCACCACCACCACCGCCTCCAAATCCTCCCCCACCACCTCCTCCAAGTCCACTACCAGCACCAGCACCACCTCCAAATCCGGACCCTCCTCCAAATCCTGAACCTCCACCAGTACCACCTCCTCCGCCAAATCCACCACCACCACCAGAACCTCCTCCACCGCCAAGTCCACTACCAGAACCACCACCAGCACCAAATCCACTTCCGGAACCAGCACCTAACCCTCCTCCACTACCGCCACCACCACCAAAACCACCTCCACCTCCAAATCCACCACCAGAACCACCACCTGCACCAGCACCTGCACCAAATCCGCTCCCTGAACCACCACCTATCCCTCCTCCACTACCAAAACCACCACCTCCTCCCGCGCCTGCACCTCCACCGAACCCTGGATGATAGAAATTCTTCTCATCTCTTAAACCCTTATCACTCTCAAGCTTCCTTGCATCAATGCTACTACAAACAAGAACACCAAGAAGCACAAAAAGACAAACCCTAGAAGTTGAAGCCATCTTGTGCTATAGATAGAAACTTAAAAAACTTGAAGTTATTTGGTGTGGAGGAAAAGAAGTGAAGCTAGGGTTTATATAGCAAATGCCAAAGGCAAGGTTTAGGCAAAAATAATAGTATTAATCAGTATGAGAAGGCTTTAAATTAAGGGCAACTTCTTAACCATGCAATAACGCGTTGAATTCATAAATGTTTTCAACTGTATCCGTTTGAAAAAGAGAGTAAATAGTTAATTCCTAATTGCTTACGTATGTCTTATACCCTTTACTTATCCATTAGTCGTCGTGTATTATTATATTAATAAAAGGTGACTACATTTTTAAGTCAACATAAAACTTAATAATAGTATTGGTAAAATGAACACCAATTCGAGGTTTTCCGCGGATAAAAAACGTTGCCACTAGTACAATTTTATGGTTTATTGAATATCTATAAATAAAACTAGTGGATACATGTATTCAAAATATCTGTTAATAATTATCAAAATTATTTAATTCAATAATAATTATGTGATAGAAAAAAAAATAAAATAAATATGATTTATTTTGGCCTGAATATGAAACTATTTCATAATGTATTGAATAAAAAAATTTAATAAATTTTAAATTTTTTATTATTTAAATAATAATTTCTATAAATATCTATATATTTATTTAATAAATACTCACACGAGGTTCGAGCGAACACTAATATAATATCTATCAAATTGACTAATAGCATAATAGTAATACTTATATTTGTGGGTATTTATTACCATCTCTACTTAAAAGTCTATTTGTAAATTGATTTTGAGATCTTTAAAGTATTTAAAAAAACAATAAAATATAATATTAGATTATATTCTACTGTAATATATTGTTTTTTTTATGATTTTATCTTGCAAATCTTCTCCTTCAAAATTTAAGAAATTTTTTTAAAATATTTCTCCTTCAAAAACCAATTCGTAAATAAATTGTATTAGAGTTTGACCTAACTCATCCTTACAAAATCGATTTAATTTATAAGATGAGGAGTGTTATTCTATATAAACTCTTTCAATGCTCTATCTCTAACCAACATGTGAATTGAAATATTTCTCATACATCTCCCATGCTCCTCACTCTTTTTGTGGGCGGTTCTTTGGGATCATCACGAGGGACATTTTTTATTGGAGACTTTCTTTATATTCATGGAAATCCACCTCTAACTCCTGCACCAGCTCCACACTACTAAAAATATGACATTTGAGAAAAGGTTTTTACATCAGGTATCACAGCGCCAAAAAAGACCTACGAAAGCGCTTTTTTTGACCTTTAAAAGCGCTTAAAAGCGCTTTCTAAGGTGGCGCTGCTATAGGTTTTAGCAGCGCTTTTTGTTTAATGAAAAGCGCTTTCGTAGGTCTACTTATGACAGCGCTTTTTCTAAAAAGCGCTCTCTTAAGTACCCTTATGGCAGCGCTTTTTCTAAAAAGCGCTCTCTTAAGTAGGCTTTTGGCAGCGCTTTTTCTAAAAAGCGCTCTCTTAAGTAGGCTTTTGGCAGCGCTTTTTTATGAAAAAGGACTTTTATTGGTGGCGCTTTTTTTGGAAAAGAGCTTTCATAGGTTGTCTTTTAGCAGCGCTTTTTCTTGGAAAAGCGCTGTCATATGTTTACCTTAGACAGCGCTTTATGTGAAAAAGCGTTGTCATAGGTCTACCTATGAAAGCGCTTTTCTCCAAAAAGCGCTTTCATAGGATTTTTTTTAGAGGTATAATTTATATAATTCATATACCTGCACTGTTTGCAGCATATTATTTATATAAACCAGTTGTCATAACCTGTAATTCATAAATAGCGGTAATGCATTATAATCCAAAATATATATCCACCATTTTTGTATCTCAAATTATATAAAAACCATTGTTATCAGTATTGTAACTCAAAATCAGTCTTACAAAATCAACCCTAACAACAACTAAACCAGTCCTTATATGATTCTCTGCTCAATAAAATATTGACACAACTCCTCTTTGGTTTCTTCCAACTGAAGTTTCGTGTAACATGCACATTTGTACTCATCGAAGTACTACATAACAAAACATAATATGCATGATTTAGTTAAAAGTAAAAAATTATATGAAATATCCGAGAAATAATAAAACAAATCCTAAGTTATAAATTCATACCGTGACTGGAATCTCTATTTGATTCAGTTGAATGATTTTTTTGATAAACCGCATAACGAAGTATCCGCAATCTATACCGTTTTGCTGTTGAGGACACTACATAGAAAAACAAATAAGAATATATAGTTGTATTGTTTTATCAAATAGCATAAATATTATAAGCAAAATAGTGGAAATTAATATACCTGCACTTTGATCCAATTAATGTTGTTTGATTTAGACCGTCGTACCCGAGCTTCTCTTTGACACCGGAATACTTGTATCGCTCTAACAAAATAAAAATATATATTTAGAACAATGTCACAGAAATAATTAAATACATAAATACACACAAATATTTAGAATAATCTCACTTACGTATCAATCATTAACTTCATATCCGGATAATTTGTCCAATCACCGTCAACCGAATTCAGATAATAGACCGCTTCTTTTATAGGATCGATAGCAACCAACAACCAGTGACGTCTATAAATTAAAACAACAGTTTAGAAGAAATTTTTCTACGCAAAAATTACAAATATTAAAATGAACTTAGAATGAAAATCTAACCCTGTAGGAATAGTATTATACGCCCAAAGATATAAGCTTTCTGTACTGCCAGTTTCCATGAATCTTTCGACTAAGTGCTCTCTTACTGATTCTGGTTCCCTACCAATTGTCGCTCCGCTGACACGGGAGGAAGACACAAAATGGAATCTGTTTGACAATTGATTCCCGCGCATCAATTTGTCATATAACAGCCTTAAATAAAAACATAATTAATATTAGAGTATATTCATTGAAAATGTTTAAAAAATATTTCAGCTAATTACATAATATAAAGATGGGGTTACCGGATGTATGCGTGCATAATACTGACGCCCAATTCTTTATGACGGAAAATCTGTTCCACGTCCTCATGTCCAATTATTTCGGTGCAAGGAAAACCAAAGATACCTTGATCCATATCCATTTGACGAATACCACCATCCATCAAATTTGTTGTTCCCACTATTGTTTCAAGACACTGCCGGTATCGAGGGAAAAATCTAGTAGGCACCCTTTTCTTGGGTGGTACGCCAACGATTTTCTGGCTCACTTGTTGTGACCCATGAAAAGGTACCTAAAAATCATATAAACTCAGTTAAATTATAAAATTATGCAGTTTTTTATTCGGATCATATAATTAACACTTTAAACATACCTCTTTTGGTGATACGTCAGACTCGTCGTGCCGCAAAATCTCTTTACCCTTAGATGCGGGTGTTGTAGGAGTCTATAATTACCGTGGAAATAACTGAGGTCAGAACTGACAGTTGAAGACTTAAAGATTCATAATTGTTTTCAACATACCTGATCATCTATGAAAATGAGGTCTGATGGCCATGCAACAAAAGATCCTATTGCATCTCGCAGCAATGTGGTCTCAGCAACAATGTCAGGTACTGGTAGCAACGCATCCATATCTAAAGTAATGTCAACCGATACTTTCATGTGTCCATCCGGAAGCGGTCTATTATGAAGTAAATCTCCCGAACTGTTATGGACTTTTCCCTTGCCAACTAGTCGATAAGTCGGTGACGATAGGTATAGCTGGCAAGATGAAATGCCCTAAACCAATAATAACCGTTAGAAGTGACTAAAAATATTCTATAATAATAACGGATATATATTGAAAATTACCTCGGGAAATTTATGCTGACAGTTGATACTAGCTTTGTCACTAGTTTCTTTCAATTGTGAACTGCTCTTTTCCGCCATATATCTCTCTTTATCCTTCTGCAATTCACGGACTTGAGCTTGTAAATCCTACAATGTTTGCATCACTTCTGCATTGCTAGGATTTCTTCTCCTTGGATGCTTATACAAAGAGGTTGGAGTCACACCATGACCTTTACCCCTCACCGACCCGAATACTCAGCAATATTTAGTGCTCGACTAAGTACGCTCCTGGTATCCTGATGATCCTCACCTGGGGATACCGATTGCGACAAGGTCTCCTGTAATTCAATTACATATAAAAAATTATTAGTGGAGATAAAAAATTACTTAAATATTAATAAACATTAATTGATTTAACTAAAGACACAATCTTATACTTACACATTCATCATACACATGTTGAATATCGGGGTTAACAGCTTGATCCTTGCCCACACGGGCTTCCTTCCACAACAAATGTGCCGGTAGTGATGTTGCGTCACTTTTCATCTCTTCTAACTACGCAATGATGAAAGTCTTAAGATCATCAACTATAACACATTGATAGAATTAATAAGATCGTAGAGTTTATATTTACTTACAATTTTTTCCTCTAAGCGAGCATATCCCAAACGCCCTTTTTTGTATGGATATGCGGGTTTTGACGCTCTCTCACGATTGATAGCACTCACTTTCTTGAAATTCTCGTCTCTTCTTTGGCCTACAAAACCAACCCATTCTTCAGGTGTAATGAAGTTCTCATATTTCTTTGGACGTTTCGGATCCTCTTCAAGAAAATTTCCTTCATCATCTTTAAGATACTTGTTTGTTAAAAATGTTCTCCACCCTCTGTGTCTTTTTCCAGCCAAACTCATTATATACTTTTTACGGGTATCTTCAATGTTAAAAGACCTCTACAAAAAAACATACGCATAAAGTGTGTTAGTAAAAGAAATTTAAACACATATTATCGTCAAGATAAAGCAAATAACAAAAACCATATATGTACCTTTATCTCAGTCCAAACTTTCTCCTTAGCCTCATCCAACTCTCCTCTTTTCCATCTAGGAGTGGTGATCGGAATGTGTATACGAACAAGCGTACCAATGTAGCTTGTCAACTTTGCAGCATTAGACCCAATTAATTGGTCATTATCATTCCATTCTACATTATATGTT